GGTTTACATTAACTAAGAAGGAAAAGAGAAAGATTTTAACCTGGTCTATTGACAGTAGATCAAGAAGTAGAAGTAATGCATACTACTGCGAGCAATAATTGTTCTTTCCTGACTAAAACTCAATCCTATTTATATAATTGTTCTGATACCGGGGTCTAATCTCCTACTTGAGGTTTCAATCCCTCACTTGGGGTTTCAATCCCTCACTTGGGGTTTTAATCCCTCGCTTGGGGTTTCAATCCCCAATGCGCCACAATGATCCTTTCCCAAATAAGAAATAAAATAAAAATAGAAAATATAATACTAATAAAAATGGAAAATATAATACTAACACAGTACTAAACCAAATAAAGAATAAAATAAAATTTTTAAGCATAACATTATCCCTCGTTTGAAAAAATGAGCTCCCGCAAATCAATAAATGAACGATATAACTCTTCTTGTCTTCGAGCCTTAGCTTCAGCCAACAAGCTATCAGAAAAATCTTCATCGTACATTTTTTCAAGGATAGAAATATTAATATGTTCCACCAGATACAAGTATCCTTCTCTTCGAGAATTAAATAACTGATAAACTCTTTTGGATATTTTCCACATGCTCTTCCTTTTTTCTGGCTTAAAGTAAGGACTTAATTTCCTTCTTGTTGCCTTGTTCCATTCCTTTTCAGCAATTAAGGTTCCTAGTTGATAATAAGTTTCTAAAATCTGATCATCCGATTCCTTTTGCATGTTCAATTCAAGTATTTTACAACAAGAATAATCCAGTTTCTGATTCCAATCCTCTCTGGGAATTTCGAGCAGCATAACAGGGTCCTTTGGATCTTCTCTGTTTATATCTTGTAAATAAATGAACATGCTTTCTCGAATTCTCTCGGATAGAGTCTTCTTTTCAAGTAAAGTAATATATCCTATAACCTCTTGTTCAGTTGTTCAAAGAGTCACTTGATCTCGATCTAAAAGTATAAATTCACCAAATTCTAGCACAGCGGCCAACTTTTGCACACGTGATCTAATGGTTTCAAGTCTCTGTTCCATTTTACAGTTTTTCATTTAAGAATGCTTTGAAGTTTGACCTTTTTTCCACTCCTTTTATAACACTTGAATGATAAGAGTTTTTCACGGGTCTAGGTTTCAAATACAACGCAGGATCTCATTCCATATATGGCTTTAATAGTCTACCATGCACACTTTGTGCTAATACCTTTCAGTCTAAGGTTTGTAACTTATAAGTACTATTCCCAAATACTTCATGGATTAAGTAGGGTCCGAGCCACTGAGATTCTAGCTTCTCACTTTTTCGAGTATCGAGCTTTGCTTTGTAGCGCCAAACCTTATCACCTATCGAAAAACTATGTAAAAGGTATCGATCATCATGTTTCAACTTTTGTTTTGCTTGGAACTATTTAATATTTTCTAAAGCCTTAGCCCATGCTTCTCTTAAATTATCTATCATGACCCTTATTCTATTAAGTATTACTAACTGGGTCTTTTCCTCATCAATTTCTTCTGAGGGATACGTCGTTACATCTTGTTCAACGGGTAATCGAGCCTCACGCCCATAAACCAAATAGAAGGGCTCATAGTAAGTAGTATTATGTTGTGAGGTTCAGTAGGCAAATAATGCTAACTGTATGAATTCGTCCCAGTCCTTTTGATATTGAATAGCACATTTAGATAGAATCTCACACAATGTTCGGTTAAACCTCTCAACCTGACCATTTGTTTGGGGGTGATAACTCGATGACATTATGTGTTTTATATTTAACTGCTAACATAAATTTTCAATAAGTTTATTATTAAAGTGAGTTCCTTGATTGGATATAATCTCCTTTGGGCAACCATGCCTGCTTATTATTTCATCTACCAGAAATGATGCTACGGATTCTGCTTTGCAATTGGTCAATGCTTTAACTTTGGGCCATTTAGTGAAAAATTCCGTGAACACAATTAAATATCTATGTCCCTGTTTGGTCAGAGATAAGGGCCCAACGAAATCAATTCTGATGCGATCAAACAACTGTATTGGTTTTATAGGATGCAACAGTTCATGTGTCAAAGATCGTCCCCGTTGCTGACAAACTTCGCATCCTTTTATGAAGTTTTTGATTTTAGTTATCATTTGTGGCCAGTAGTATCGCTTAGAAATTTTATTAATTGTAGCTCTTTCCCCCATGTATCCACCTATCACACTTTCATGAACAGCATCCAAAATAATTTTCACTTCTTTCCTTTGTACCACTCGTAAGGAACTCATTTCTTCATTTTTTTGTCTATGTACAATATTCCTTTTCTAACCAGAAATAACTGGGCTTGAGCTTTTAATCTTCGATTTTGCTTTTCATTATACTCAAATGGTAAGCTTAGGTCAGTAAGATACTTCGTTAGAGCTTGATAATTGTTTTCTTCCATTTTATATATTATTCTTTTATTGCCAGAATACTGGAACCTGGGCTGTATTCTGTTCCTCGGATTTGTATGTACAATAGTTTTTTTTTTTTTTTTTATAAATGTATTCTAATTTTTATATATACTCAACTTAATGTTCGATCCTAAACAAAGCGTCTACATGTGGAAGCTGCTTGCCAGCACGATGTTTCACTATAAAATTATGTCATAATCAACCGAGCCATACGTCCAGTGGGGTTTTCCATATTATTCAAGTAAACCAAAGCCGAATGATCCGTAACAATGGTAAATTTGAGCCCATGCAAATATAAATGAAACTTCTTTATAGCCCATCCTACTGCGGTACATTCTAATTCGGTAATCGTATAATTTTTCTCAGCAGGTTTGGTAGCTCTACTTGCGTATTCAATGACTCGTTCTTTCTTATCACTATCGAACTGAGCCAATATGGCTTCTAAAGCTACATGAGATGTGTCTATATAAAGGATATATTCTTTCCCATCATCGGGATGAGCTAATATAGGAACAGTAATCAAACACCTTTTTAAATTATCAAAGGCTTTTTGCTACTCCATACTCTATTTATATGGTTCTGTAATCTTCAACAGCTTATATAGAAGGGCAGCTACTTTAGCAAAGTCCTTTATAAACCTTCGATAGAATCCGGCAAGATCCAAAAACCCACGAAGTAATTTAAGATTTTTAGGTTGAGAGAAATCTCTAACTGACTTTACTTTTAATTTCCCGGGAATTATACCTTGTTTGTTGATTTATATCCCAAAAAGGTTATTTTTCTTTGCCCAAAGAAACATTTCTCTTTATTTATTTATTTATTTTTTTTTTAACGATGCTGCCTCTTTATTACTCATTATAGTGGAATATACACGAATATACATTATTTTTACAAGATTTTCAGTACATTATTGGTTACAAATTCCTAACTAGTACCTGTTATGCTGCCATCACTGAGTTCGTATCTCAAGCTACCTTTTAAGGTACTGCCAAAACCCGGTCTGTATTTCAAGCCACAACCTTTCTAATTAGTCATCTCTTATCGCAGATGTTCCAGGTCCCTTCCCCTGCGGTGTTTCAGTCCCCGAACTTCTATAACCACCTTGAGTGAGACATACCAAACCTTACGGCCTAGTATAGTCGTATTAACCCCATTTACCTCACCATTGGTCCTCACATCCTGTGAAGTTTGCTTACCCCAACTCCAGGTGCCTCCGAATCATTGGATGGCGGGATATTTCCATTTGCTAGATATCACATGTCCCACACATGTGTTCTTTATCTAGACTTCGGTAACCTATGCCACGGCTCTACCCATGTACTTGGAGTCAGAGCTAACTATTAAACCCCTGTGATTATCTACTTCTGCCCTTATTAGGTTCCCAACAACCCTGATACTCGCATTTAAACCGTCTTTTTACTTGGATTCTTTATTGGTCTCTCCTTTACTTCTAGCCGGCAACCCGGAAGGGTCGGTCTGCCCAGGCTTTAGATACCTGAAGGATGTCCTCCCCTTGGTACATACTTTCGGAGCATATGTCCTTTTTCTCCGGTGCGACAGAACCCGGTGGTTCGGCTAGTGTGTCCTCTGCCATTAGGACCTGGTCGTTTGGTTCTCCGATCTCGGGCCCCGATTCGAATTCAGCCCTCTTGTGATACCATCGAAGATCATTGTTACTCCTAACTCGGGACTTCCCAAATGGGTTTTCGGTTATGCCGGTTCCTCGGGTTTATTGTGCCATTGCTCCCATTACTAGATGGTGTGACCGAAGTTACAAATTAAATCTAACCGATATGCATTAGCCGTCAACCAAACACAAGCCTATTTTTCAAATATCATCGTCTGTGGGATTCGAACTCTAGACCTGCCACTTGGAGAGGATGATGACTAGACCACTACACTAAGTCGCCACATCTCATATTTCTCTTTATTTAATTTCAGGTTTGTGGTTTGTATTTGTTAGAAAATTTCCGATATATGAACCATATGATCTTTGAATATGGGAGAAAAAGTCGTTATATTGTCAATATAAACCAGAGCAAATTTCCACAAAACATCTTGTAGAACTCGATCCATCAATCTTTGAAACGAAGCTGGTGCATTGGTGAGCCCAAAGAGTATCACATTAAATTCATATGATCCAAACTTAGAAATAAAGGCCATTTTTTCTCTATCTGCTAGATACATTTCTATCTGCCAAAATCTACTTGCAAGATTGAGTATCGAATACTATGCTAAACCTTTCAATGCACCTAACAATTCGTTTATTCTGGAAAGTGGATAGCTATCTCTTCTAGTTACCTTATTTAGTTTCTGAAAGTCTACACAGAACCTCATCAATCTATTTTTTTTCTTTACTAATACAATAGGCAAGGCCCAGGGGTTATTCGATGGACGGGTTATTCTAGCCTCTTTTAATCGTTGAATTTCAGCCCCAATAAATTTGTGTTCAGGTTTGGACGTGGGATAAAATCTTTGCTTAATTGGAAGATAGTCATTTATAATTATTTCATGTTGGCTTATCAATGTTCTTTCCAATTGACCCGCTTCATCCATAAAAGCATTTTTATATTCTGCTAATACATGTATTACTTCTACTTCTTGATCTACTGTCAATAGACCAGGTTAAAATCTTTCTCTTTTCCTTCTTAGTTAATGTAAACC